TGGGATGGAGGGTGGGATGGAGGGTGGGATGGAGGGTGGGATGGAGGACGGGATGCAGGACGGGATGCAGGATGGGATGAGGGTGGGATGGAGGATGGGATGGATGGGATGAAGATGGGATGGAGGATGGGATGCAGGATGGGATGGAGGATGGGATGGAGGGTGGGATGAGGATGGGATGCAGGTCGGGATGGAGGACGGGATGGAGCTCAGGGGGAGCACCATCCTCTCACCCAAACTCCTCCTCTCCCTCTCCCACCCAGCCCGGCAGGAACACGGCTGTGATCCCACCTCACTCCCCTCTCCTGGCATCCAGGAATTCCACAAGCCCCTTGTCTGAAGAGCAGCATTTGATGTGATCCCCAACTTAACTCAGACCATGGGAAGCCCCTGACTCCGGCTCTTCCAACGGATCCTTGGCTGACCCAGAGACTCCATCTCCTCCTGCTGTCACATCCCTCACTTTGGTGACTTCCTATTCCCAAATTAACAGGTCCCTCCGTGCCAGGATCCCCCTTTCCAACCCACCTCACACACCTCACTCCAACCCAGCCAAAGCAAACCTGGGGAGCAGGAATGTTGTATCCCAACATCCTCATCCCAGCAGCTTTAAGGGAAACCGTGAGAAGGGAAACAAGGTTAAAAAAAACCCCAACAACAACGACAAAAAAAAAAAAAGCCCTATTAAAATAAATTACGTAAAGTTCTGAAATCAAACATCATTTTTTGAGGCAACTTTTCCAGAGACCTCTTGGTTTCCTTTCTTCTCTGAAGCACCTTTAAGTCGTGTGGTTGTAAGAATAACTTTAACTATAGAAGCTATAAGCATCTTTTTTTTTTAAGAATCACATTTTTCGATGATTATAAAAATTTATCTATTATACAACATAGGTCCAGCTACACTGAAAAAATTACACCGCTTATTGAAATACAATTTTCGTTTTAGAAACAGACTACTAAATAGGTCTATACAAAAAACTCTAAAATAATTTCTGTAGTAAAATAAAGAGTGTGTTAGGAGAGCTACACAAAACAAGGAGGGTTTTTTTTTGCCTTTCTTTATAATGCTCCAATATACCGTGATACCAGAAGCTGAAAGGAATCCGTTACATACACAGTGATACAATTAATGCTCTGTATTAATCTCACAGCCTTCCCGATTAGTACAAAGAAAACCAGGCCTGTCTCCTCTTTGAGGAGAAGTCCGGGATATAAAAGCAAGCATACCTCATCAGCTGATATGAAATTATAAAATTCCACGAGTCTCAGTGTCTGAAATTCATAAAAGTCACCGGCGGGGGGTGGAGGGTAAAGAAACCACGACCCAAGTTGGGGTTGTTTTTTTTCTCGGTCCTGTCGGGTTGGAAAACGGGCGCCGACCACAAACGGGGTGTTTTTGTTTTATCCTTGTGAAGTGATTCCAGGGAGCTGAGCCAGAGATCCTCCCCCAGTGAGCCCTGTACCTCCAGAGGGAGAGCAGCAGCAGCGGCGGGGCCGTCAGTGGTGCTGGGCCCGTCAGTGGTGCTGGGCCGGGCTGTTCTTCTCGGCCAGGTGCCGCAGGAAGGGCTCCTCGCCCTGCCCGCGGTGGTTCAGGGGCTCGCTCTTGAACAGGGCCGGGGGGGGAGGCAGGTGGGGCACGGGGGGCACGGGCAGGTGGTGGTGGGGGTGGTGGGCGTGGGGGTGCAGGTGGAGGTGCTGGTAGGGGTGCGGGACGGGCCGGGGGGGAGCGGCGCCCGCGGGGCTCAGGGGCACGGCCGGGGCGGGGGCCGGGGGGGGCACGGCGGGTACGGCGGGGGAGGAGGAGGCGGAGAGCAGGATGGGCACGGCCGAGGGCACGGTGACGGGGCTGGTGACGCGGAAACACTTCTCCTTGTGCGCCTTGAGCATGTTGGAGAAGCGGAAGCGCTGCCCGCACACGTCGCAGGGGTACGGCTTCTCCCCCGTGTGCGTCCGACGGTGCCGCTTCATGTTGGGCCGGCTGGTGAAGCTCTTCCCGCAGATCTCGCAGATGAAGGGCTTCTCTCCTGACCCAAACACACACACACACGGGTCAGCCACGGCCTGGACAGCCCACAGAGTCACTGCACATCCACAAAATCACTGGACACCCCCCAGAGTCACTGCACACCCCCCAGCATCACTGGACACCCTCCAAAATCACTGCACACCCCCAAAATCACTGCACACCCGGCCTGGACACCCTCCAGAATCACTGCACACCCCCAAAATCACTGCACACCCCTAAAATAACTGCGCATCCAGTCTGGACACCCCCAAAATCACTGCACACCCCGCAAACAAACTGTACAGGGGCTGCTCTGCCTGCGGCAAACACTCCACAGGAGCCTCAAACTGGGGGAATTCCTCACCTTGGGAATTCCTCCCTCACTTCTGCAAACACTCCACAGGAGCCTCAGACTGTGGGAATTTCTCCGACTTTGGGAATTCCTCAGACTTCAGGAATTCCTCCCTCACCTTCGGATTTTGATGCCTGAAACAATCCTTTGTAAGGCCTTTGGCAAGGGGCTCCTCCAGGCCAACATAACAGGTCTGACCTCTCCCTTTCCTCACAGTGAGTCACAGCCCCACAGATTTAACCTTTGAGGGGGTGCATTAACCTTTCCTGTCTGATTTTCTAGTTGAACAACCCCAAATCCCAAGGAAGGGAAGTGTTTTGCCAAGGTACTCGTGCTCCTCCTTCGACAAGCTCTTACCAGTGTGTGTTTTCATGTGCTCATCAAAGTACTGCTTCATGTTGAAGTCTTTGCCACACCACTGGCACATGAACTGCTTGTGCCCGATGTGGATGCTCATGTGGGAGCGCAGCTGGTACTTGTACTGGAACCTCTCATCACAGTTCTGCAAGAGAAAAACCAGCAGCCCGTGGGCTCCAGGCACAGGAGACACCCCAGGGGACTGTGGGGAGGAGTAAAGGACACACAAACTGCAGAATTCTAATTATTCAGTGGGAATTTACTGGGCAGAATTTGGGCTGTACTGAAGGTCTGCTGGCACAGGAGCTTTGGAAGAGTCAGAACCTTCAGCTGGCGCTGAAATCCTGGCAGAGACTTGGGTTATTCCAACCCTGCTGGTGGCTCGAGGCATCCCAGGGAGGGTTTGCAGCCACTAGAGGACTCTGCTCCACACCAAACCAGCACAGCTCCACACCAAACCAGCACAGCTCC